AATAGCTGCTGACTGAAGGCTGGAGACAGCAAATGGAAGAAGTCCAAATTACAAAGTTTCAATGTGGACATCAACTACTTCATTTCTGGTACTTCTTCCAGGCCCATGCATGGATAGGGAGAGTTTTCTGGCTGGTGTCCTCTTTATCAATAATCCAGATACCTTTGTAGGCGGCAAAACTGTAATTACCTGGGGTGAAAACAAAAGCTGTGGTTTGGCAGACTCCTGAACTTTGGGGTAAAAGTCAATTCTGGGCTGGAGCTTGTGGTTGGAGCTGGGCTGTGGTTAGAATATCGAGTGAGCCCTCATGGCCAGTGTTAAGGATGTGCACAGCTAACTGGACTGGGAAATAACATTTCCTGGAGAATAACAGGGAGCTTTTTTTGTAGTGATAAATTAGGAAAAAAAGGGTTCCTCGCTTTCATTCCTTATCTCAGATATCTTGAAGAGTTCTAATTGCATTATTGCTCCTCCTTTATGTGTAATTTCTGGTACTTGGACATCTGAAGCTTGTCTGTTTTACAAGCTATATGGTTATGGCCTCCTGGCTTTTCTGGTGGAAAATGGTTATGCCTGACTTCTGTGTTTGTTGTGTGGCTGGAAGACAAAAGAAGGATGTTTTTGTTTTCTGCCTCTCTGTTTTGTACTGGTCTGAAGCACCAGGCCTGCTAGTCCCACTGCTGTGAAGAGTGGCTTCTCTTTGTTGGATGTACCTGCTAAAGATGCACAGCTCTGTAATCACAAATCTTATCAGCATGCGGATAGTGGCCAAAACTATTTCTTTCTCTCTTTTTATTTTTGCCTCAGTTCTGTTTTCTTGTGTGTGTTCTTCTGGTTCTCCTGGCCTTTCCTGGTAGGTTTGAGAAGTTCCCATCAAGTGTGGAGTTATCAATGGGGTTAGTGTGTTGGACAGGAAATGATGTCTCAATCAGGGAGTGAGTCCTGAAAGGTCCCATTGATAAGTGCAAGGGGGCCTAGCGCCAGTGGAAAACTCCTGCTTGCACAACACTTCTCCCCCCACGAGAAAATACGACAAGAAAGTAACGAATTCCCTTCCTTAACCCTTTTTCCTCCCAGGGATCTCCGTCAGGGCCACCACTGTATGAGCAGTGACAGCCCAATGCTACAGCCACTTTGGCTCTTGCAGCATGAAGTGCACAGTTACCAAAATAGAGATCTTCACCTGGGGTTTCCACGGTCTTGTCATGTCTCCGTAAGCATGACACTGTGCTGATCTGTGCCTCAGTTTCCCAGCTGTAAGATGGGGACAAGGCCCTGTGTACTCATTCTTGCCATAAAGTACTTTTAGACTTAAAGAGGTGATTCTTTCTTTTGCTATTATTTTTTTCTGGGCTCTTGATGCTGCCAGAGCATCTCCAAGGTGAGGCAAGTGAAATGGACTTTGGGTTTTGAACTACAACTTGTATTTAAGACTAACAGAGTCTAGTAGAGATAGGAAAATACTAGAGACAGTCCAGCACAGGGCAACAAATATGTGGATTGGAACATCTCTCTTACGGGGAAAGGCTAATAGAGCTGGGACGCTTTAGCCTGGAAAAGAGAAGGCTGAGGGGTGACCTTATTAATGCCTCTAAGTATCTAAAGGGTGGGTGCAAGGAGGGTGGAGCCAGACTCTTTTCAGTAGTTCCCAGTGACAGGACAAGGGGCAACAGGCAGAAGCTGAAACATTGGAAGTTCCATTTAAATATGAGGAAAAGCTTATTTACTATGACAGTGACAAAGCACTGGAACAGGCTGCCCAGGGAGGTTGTGGAGTCCCATTCCCTGGAAATACTCAAGACCTACCTGGATGCAGTCCTGTGTGGTGGGGTCTAGGGGATCCTGCTTTAGCAGGGGAGTAGGACTAGGAGATCTCTAGAGGTCCCTTTCAACTCTTGACAATTGTGTGATTCTAACAAAACCTGTGAAGGGAGTTGGGAAAGCAAATTAAATGTTAGGGCACTTTGGGAAACCTTTATGCTTTGGGAGAATTGTGACTCCATGTGCAGTGATTGTTACTGAACAGCAAATGTTGCATGCCACAATAAGCCAGCATGGAGAGCTTCACGAGGAAGCTTTGCAGCCTGTATTCCAGCTGCTTGTGATTGCTCAGGCTTAGTGCTTGGTTAATGGCTCTCTATACCTTATGGACCTGCTTCTATTGTCTCTAGCTTTAGGCATTTAGGGGACCTTAGCATTTATAGGAAAGACCTCCTGGTATTGTAAAGCAGCTGTTTCAGTATGTTCTGCTCCAGTATGTAGCAATGAAGGATTCTCTGTTTGCTGTCTGAACCATGGCGGGTCTGTAATGGGGCTCTGCTAGGCTATGCTGCATCTTGCCTTGCAGGCAGTGATTCCTGGTCACATTATGATTTCCTGAATGGAGAAGCAGTGTTTCCAATGGAAAGCCCAGAGCAGAGCCCTTCATGATGACAGTTGGAGAGCAACATGGGGTGCTAGCCCACATTCCTCAAAACCTTTGAGGAGCTGAACCTGGCTCTCAGTCATGGACCATGCAGAAGGTGTTGGGTTGCCATCTGCTTGTTGATGATCAAGGTAGTCTCTTTACACCCCCCTCATTTTGCTCCAGATAAGATGATCTGTGATTTCCAGATACATGGTGGAATCTTGAACTTCTGACCTAGTGCTGTTTGGACCTTGGTTTTGCAACCAGATACCACACATGGTCATGTGGCATTAGCATAATCAGTCTACTTTGGTTATGTCATTTCTTATCCCCATGTGGTCCTTCCAGCAGAAAACTCAAGCAAATGCTAAGTGAGTAAATCTCAACTGATTTATGGGCACCACTCGTGTCCAAAACAGCTGGAGCCTGCAGGTCTCTGTCAGTTCCACTCATCCTACTGTGACCGTGACAGAGCTGCAGTTCGAAGGGGAGGAACAAGGGCTGGCTTGTAATGACTTAATCAGGGCTGCAATGCCTGGTGTTGACAGTGACACTGAATAGGACACATGGGGAAACCCTAGGGCCTGCCCAGGGCTGAGGAGGGAGGAATACAGATAATTAATTTCACTACTACAATTTCATGTTTCTTTAAAATTAGAGAGCCCTCCATTCCCCGAATGGCTGTCTCTGTGGGAAGTGGCTCAGTGGTTTGAGAGCCCTTGCATTACTAGATACTGGGCTTTTTTAAACACTTCCTTGCAAATCCTCCCAGGCACTCCAGGCAGTAAGAGGCTGCTCTGTCCCAAGGATTCAAATCCCAGAAGTTTTTGGTTGTGCTATTTCAGCAACACATATGCTTGACTTGGGAGTCACAATGTTTTCAAGGTGAGTAGCAGGGCAGTGAGACTGAACGTACCATAGGACTTTGAAGCTGGAGTTAGCCTCATGAAGGTGTGAGAAGTGCAGCAAACAACCCAAAGCAGCAAGCCAAGTGTCAGCCCTATGCTGCTTCACTGAGGGCTAGAGATCTCTAAATGCAGGCATAAATTAAATCAGGGCATTGCTGCATCATTTAATTGTGCAGCCAAGTCACATCTGCTGCTAAGTGGGGCTCAAGTGATAGCAGCAGAATATGTGGGTGCCACCATTTCACTAAATAGGATTGAAAGTATTAAATTAACTCTGCATAGATGAAAGCATTACAATAAATTGCTTGTCAAGTCCAATTTTCTTTTGTCTTTCACCCTCAGGAGGCATTTGCACCTGAGCACCATGTGACATCAAGGACTCACCACCTAATGCAATATGTTAAGTTCTGCCTTCTCATGCACTCAGTATCTGGGTGCTTGGCTCTTGCGTGTGATGCAGAACAGGGGAACATGAGGTGCCCATCACTGGGAGAGATGGAGATTTGTACATCACCTGTAGATGGTGCTGACCCTCAGGGCACACTCGTGGCTCGTTCAGACACATCCCTGGATGCCAGGAGATGCCTTCCACCATCACTAATAGATTTGGTGGTGGTGGTACCAGAATCCTCTCCTGAGTTAGTAATTCAGGTCAGCAATGCTCCTGTTATTCCCAAACATGATGGGAATGTACTGCTTTATTGGGATAGCAGGGATAACTCCTGTCATTTCCGCTGCCCAGTAAAAGATGTCAACAGTGGTAAGGCTCATGTTTTTCTCACCAGAAAGTGCTTTTGGAGGCTGTTAGCAGGATGGGGATTTGCAGTTGAGTGTGTGCATAAATAATTACCTGAAGCATAAGGTGGAGAAGTGTGGGGATACAGCCAGCTCACCCTCCCAGTTTCCATGCTGGGCTGGGAAGCTACAACAGTGTTTGCAACTGGAGAGTATGAAAGGTGCCTCTTGCCCCACTCTCCACCTCACCCGGCCCCTTCCTCAATGCTACCTTGGACTTTTATAGGTATTGTGATCCCACTTGGGTGCTGCCCCTTCCTGCCTGCTCCCCAGCAAAGCGAGCAGGGAAAATGTGACCATGATTGAGTGTCTGGTGTCTTAGCTTGAGTCACCAGAGGCTCATCTTCTGCATTTCATTCAGCAACTCCAAATGTTTTGGTCTGTTTTCATACCTGTCTTACTTGGTGCTCCAAGTCAGAGTATGAACAGGACCAGAGCCTCGGCAGAGGAACCAATCCCACATCCAGATACCAGCCTCTTCGTTGCCTCTGTGAGGATGGCTGGGTCTTCATGTGCAGAAAGTCCTTTCTCACAATAATGAAGTGCAGCTTTCTCCAAGGCGAGACACAGCAGCTGGCATTAGCAGCGTGCCATAATCCCACGTTGTGTTTCTGGCCGTGTAAGAGGGGAACAGCATCCCTGCTGGAGCCATGGCAGGAATGTTAGGTAGGCAGATCACTGTCTCTCTGCACAATGATCCACACAGACATTTTGGCTGCAAGGAGACATCTGAAATGTCACAATTTTGAAAAGGCAAATAAACAAGGCTCTGTTCAAGCATTTGCTTTGTGCATCAGTTAGCAAAAAATTATCTGCCTGATGCAGTCTGCTGATCTAAGCAAGTTTTCTTCAAAGTGGTGCAGAAAGAGGAACTAACTAGCAGCCAATTAGAACATTAAAAAAATAAAGAATATAGAGAATTTTATTAGGGAGCGGAAAGAGATGTAGTTGTTTCCAGGCTGACGATAAAACATCAAGAGCTTCATTTGTTATTCCTAGGGACATCCTGGTTGTTTATAGTGCTGTAATGGAGTAACTGAGCATTGAAGAGGACATGAAACAAAATTGGTACTATAAAAAAAAGTAATTGCAGTCTGTATCTCTGCTTTTTTCACTGAGACTGGAGTTGATCTTGATGCTGCTGCTATTGATCGTTCTTCCATTACGTGCTCTTCAGTACAAACATCCTTTCCTCTGTTACTCCAAGCTGTGTCAAATAGTGTAACATCCACTGTCGTTTCCAGTTCAGTGGTTGTCACTGTGCCACATGCCTGAGCACCCTGTATTTCAGTGTGTCACTATGCTTTGCAAGAGGAGCTGGTGGCTTTGGGGTACAGGCTTTCTGGGACAGAGCAAAGGGGGAAATAGTGCAGGGTGCTTGCAGGATAGGTGGCTGATGTGATTCTGATGGAATTGTGTATAATTCTGGTTAATTGTGCAAGTGGAGACCTCCAGTCCTAAATCTGATGGTTCAGTGAAGTCTAACTCATCAGTGACTGTTTTTGTAGGACCTATGATACTTTGTGTTGCGATGTTCCTGCTTTTAGCTTTGTAGTAGCTGTGAGTGGACATGCTCAAGCATGCACTAAATTTATCAGTGGTGAGGAGTATAGGTAAGAGTGTAATGGGGCAAGAGTTCTTCCAAGTTTGCAGATGCTAACTTCTAACCTTCAACATGCCAGGCCTTTTTAGTAGGATGAGCAGTCACTGCCCGGTCTTCTCACGGCACTGGGGTCACTCTGCAGTGTGTGCTGCTCTCTTCCATAGGTGCCACCCCACGTGTAGCTCCTGGGCACAGTGGGAAGGGAAGAGAAGCTGTCATTGTGGCCCCGTGTGCGATGCTGTTCGCGCCTCTTGTAGCGTGGAGGGTTTAGGTTAAAAAATTCCCAGCCTCTGGCAAGCTCAGGGAGTGTTTCTGTGGGCTACGTGTGTGTGTCTGAGGGTGTGTACGGAAACAGACAGGAAAGCTGGAGAAGGTGGGGTAGAATAGAGAGCATGGGAGG